GGCTCTCCAAACTTATGATTTTCACACTCACACTAGTAGGTAGTGTAGCGCTTCACCCATGAGTGATCCATGATGCAATCTTGGTGATTTGGGTTCTCCAAACTTGTGCTTTTCACAATCACACTAGTAGGTGGTACAACGCTTCACCCATGAGTGATCCATGATACAATCTTGGTGATTTAGGTTCTCCAAAATTGTGTTTTCCACACTCACACCAATAGGTAGTGTAGCGTTTCACCCATGAGTGATCCTTGATACAATCTTGGTGATTTGGGAGCTTCAAACTTGGGATTTTCACACTCACACTAGTAGTTAGTATAGCGCTTCACACATGGATGCTTCTTGATGCAATCTTGGTGATTTGGGAACTCCAAACTTGTGATTTTCACACTCACACTAGTAGGTAGTATAACGCTTCACACATGGATGCTTCTTGATGCAATCTTGGTGATTTGGGCTCTCCAAACTTGTGATTTTCACAGTCACACTAGTAGGTAGTGTAGCGTTTCACCCATGAGTGATCCATGATGCAATCTTGGTGATTTGGGCTCTCCAAACTTGTGCTTTTCATACTCACACTAGTAGGTGGTGCAACGCTTCACCCATGAGTGATCCATGATACAATCTTGGTGATTTGGGTTCTCAAAACTTGTGTTTTCCACACTCACACTAATAGGTAGTATAGCGCTTCACCCATGAGTGATCCTTGATACAATCTTGGTGATTTAGGAGCTTCAAACTTGGAATTTTCACACTCACACTAGTAGGTAGTGTAGCGCTTCACACATGGATGCTTCTTGATGCAATCTTGATGATTTGGGAGCTTCAAACTTGGGATTTTCACACTCACACTAGTAGGTAGTGTAGCGCTTCACACATGGATGCTTCTTGATGCAATCTTGGTGATTTGGGAGCTTCAAATTTGTGTTTTCCACACTCACACTGGTAGGTAGTATAGCGCTACATTCATGGATGACCCTTGGTTCAACTTTGGTGATCTTGCCTGCTTAGACTATTGTTTTCACTCACGAAATAACATGTGATGTTTCAGATGATCTTCCCCTCATATACATATGATTTTCATTAGTCTAGCATCTCTTTGTCTTGTTCATACTTGGTGTAATGTGCCGGATGATCTTCCCTCTATGTGTATGTGCTTTCCATCTAGTTCTAGCAACTCTTTGTCTTGTTCATACTTGATGTGATGTTCCGGTTGATCTTCCCCTCATGTACATGTGCTTTTCATTAGTCTAGCATCTCTTTGTTTTGTTCGTACTTGATGGGATGTTCCGGATGATTTTCCCTCTATGAGCGTGTGTTTTCCATATATTTTTAAGCATCTCTTTGTGTTATTCATACTTAGTGTGATGTTCCGGATGATCTTTCCCTTCATATGCACATGCTTCATTAGTCTAGCCACTCTTTGTCATGTTCCTACTTGGTGTAATGTTCCGGAAGATCTCTCGCCACTCTTTATCTTGTTAATACTTGATATGATGTTCCGGTTGATCTTCCCTTCATGTATATGTGCTCTTCTTTAGTCTAGCATCTCTTTGTCTTGTTCATACTTGATGT